ATTAATTAAAATACAAACTAAATCACTGTAACAAGAAACTTGAAATTACAGAAGTTTAAATAAGATGGTTTCTCTCATACACATTGGTTTCCAGGAAAAAAATCCAAAATTCATTCTAGGGTTAAATGACAGCTCAGTCAAGTACCTTCCATTTGGCTGCTCTGCCATTCTTAAAGTTTAACCTTTGTTCATATAGTTAAAGATGGCTCACCTGCATTCCAAGCCAAGGAGAAAAAGGGAAGAGATGGTCCACCATTTTTTTGAAAAGCACAACTCAAAAGTTAAACATATTACCTGTGTCCACATCTTTAGCCAAAACCTGGTCACGTCACCATAATCAGCAGCAAGGAAGGTTGGAAATGTGCCCAGCAAAAGTTCCTATTATTATAGAAGAAGGAGGAAGAGGAAAAGAAAGAAAAAAAAAAAAAAAGAACAGGAGGAGCAAGAGGAACAGGAAAGGGGTGAAAAGAGGCAATAAACAATAGGAGGAGCAAGTAGCAGCCTCTGCATGTTCTACATGCCAGGCACTGTGGTAGGAACTAATGATAGAGAGAAATAAATTAAATACATCCTAGTCCTTCCCTTCTAGATGCTAAGTTATTACTAAACTGATAAGTGCCCATAACCTTTGTATCTGCAGAGACCAGCTCAGACCTCTATACTCCATTGATATTTGGCAAGTATGTTTTGAGACCAATGAGTGAGAACGGTAAATAAATGTATGAAGTGGGACTTGAGAAACAACTGTGGACATGCACCTTCCTGTCCTCAGGAAAGCACAGTCTAGTCAAGGAGACGAGATGTGACTATGCATGTAAAGATGGTGCAGTGAGGAACTGCAAAGCCTGGTGCCAAGTGAGGGAAAGTTGTCAGAAACCTCAGACACCAGAAACAGCTCTGGACGAGGAAGAAGGGCAGCTGACTCCCTCTGTCAGCAGGACAGATCTTAGATGAGATGTTGGGATAGGTAAAGACAGTGTAACTAGAAGACAGATGCTGGCACCAATTCAGCATGTGGGAGAGCCCTGCTTAGCCCAGTTGGGTAGAGAAAGAGATTGCCCTCTTCTTTCATCAAGCATAAATTGTGCTAGATAATCCCAGCGCACAGCTGCTGCTCCCTCCCAGAGAGACAGGCATCGAATCTCTATATTTCAAACACAATCTAGCCAAACCCCCACCTTGCCCATCACTAATGATTTCATGGTCCCCACTAAAGCAGCATTTCCCTAAAGCAATTTTCCCAGAAGTGGCAGAAAGATAGAGATTAGTTGCAGGTTGCCATGGAGAGCTTCAGAAGACCATCTGTCCTGGCCCATTTAAGCTTTCACCTCTTCAAGGTTATTCCTTAAAGTCAGACACTCTCAAAAGTCCATCACAGCTGTAAGAGTCTGAGAATCCGATAGCACTGAAACCTCCTAGGATTCAAGAACACCTTGATCAGATGGAGGAAGAAATCATTTATGCAAAGGACCCAGTACAGTGTCTGACAGATAAGAGGACCTCAGTAAAGACTTGTTATTGTCATTTAAACATTGCTTATATTAATATTATTTATTTGCTTTTTGCTTCTTTATCTATATTCATAGCCAATCTCAGTCCAAAGAGAATTTGAAGAAGCTTACAATACAATGAGTAATACAATAACAAGTATTTCTAAGTCAAAGTCAGTAAATCTAACAATGAGACCAGGGAAGAAAACTGGCAAATGTAATTAATGCAAAGATAGAAAGGTCACAATAGTCTAAAAAGGAAATTAACCCTGAGTGACAAATTTTCTCTGAGCTTCCTTGAAGCCAAAGCAAAATAAAAGAAATTAAATTATTTGCATTACAATTATTTACAAAATTTATACCATATGAAAGAAGATACAAAGAAACAAATATGCTCACCAGTTCAATTTTTTGCTGAGCTATATACGAATTGTAGGGAGCTCGACCCAGGTACAAAAAAGTTAAGAAAAAGTCAGGGGGCAACAGGGAGTTCAATGAATAATAAAAAGAGGAATTACTGGGCTAAACAAAGCCAAACAGATTTCTTTGTTGCAGAAAGTTTGTTAAAGTTTGTAGAAACTTCAATATGTTCATTATAAATCTCCAGAAGAGCCATACACCCTACCCTATTTATACCGTATAGCCAAGAAGTTCTTGTTTTAATGGAATGTCTGACACTTTGGGAAATGCCCCTGGAGATGAATAGACAATCAGGGCTTTAATTTTACTGGTGTCATTATAAGACAAGTCAGATCACTACTCTTTACTAGAGACCATATTTTCTGCTTTTCTTTAAAGAAATGAGCACAAGTTTCTGCATCTTCCCACCTTTCCTCTCTTTATTTGGTTTGGGAATCTTGTTCTGGGCAATGCATTATTAGCCATTAAAAAAGACTGCACAGTAGAGCATCTTAGACTTTGAGATGAACTTCCCTTCTTCCTCATTCTGTTATCTGTACTTTTCTGGAGGTAGGAAGATGAGAAAATATTCTCATCTCTACTGTAAAAGTTAAAAAAAAAAGGATCCCACAGAAACTGAAATTCAAGGTCACATTCAGTCAGTGCCTAAGTTGGTCCTGGAATACGGGGCTTCCCAACTCAAGAGTTAACCACGGTGGTAAAGCCTGTCTCTGTCCTGTTTGGGTCCTTCCCTTTCCTAATCAGTTGCCTTTTATGGCTTATTGCATATGTACAGGTGAGTGGCAATGCTGTCTCTCCTTTCTAGATCATTTTGATCCCTTTTCTTTCATCTTTTAATTAAATCATTTACTTTTCTTATAGTGGAGCAGAATTTTCAAAAGAGGAAATGGAGCCCTCCCTCCCACAGCATTCAAGGATTAAAGTTCATCTGGGTATGGAATGCCCACCAGGGACTAAACATATTACTGAGAGGCAACTGCTGAAAGCCAGTGACATATTAATATGAAAATAAATGTGAAGAGCGAGCTCAGCTAAGACATGAGATCTCTAGCTGCTGAAAGACAGTGTCTCCAGCATTCCCAAGGTGGGGTCAAACAGCCAAATGGCACCTGGGGATATTCCCTTTCAGAGTGAGGCAGGGGGCCTCAGAATGAACACTCACTGTAGCATTGACCACTATGATCTCAAAAGACAATTGGACAAAGAGTGCCCTTGAAGATGTTTGGTAGAGGGGTGCCTGCTTACCTAAGCCTCGACCATTCCCCCTCGCACTAAGGTGAGCCAACCTTATTGCATAGAAAAGTCTTTTCTAAGGACCTGCATGCTTCATCTTCTTTCAGTCAGCTTCACTAAGGTCCTTTACTAGGAAAACCTTCTTCACTAGCAGAATTCTGGGTAGGAGGTTTTCCAAATAATACAGTATCCATTCAAGCACCAAATTTTTTTTAAAATATCATAGCTCAGAAGATGTTGCAAAAATAGTACAGAGAGGTCTCATGTATCTTTCAGCCATTTGCTCCAGTGGTAACGTCTGGCACAACTAGAGCACAACAGGCAAAGCAGGAAACTGACTATGGTATATCCACAGGCCTTACTCAGATTTACCAGTTTTATGTGCACTCAGTCATGTGTGTGCATGCATAGTCCATGCATGTTATTTTAGGTGTAGATGCATGAAATCACCACCACTATGGCATGCAGAACTGCTCCATCACGAGGTCTCTTGTGCTGCAGCTTTTGTCCCAGTCATCTCTTTCCCATTATCACCACTCAGTCCCTAACACTCACAACCCTTAATCTGTTCCCCATTTCTGTAATTTTATTTTGATAACTATACAAATGTATCTCTTTTTGTTCATTCAGCATAATTCCCTTGAGATCTCTCCAAGTGCATATAACAATGGTTCATTTCTTCTCACTGCTGAGTAAGTGTTCCATGATATGGATGTACCACCCACTAAAAGACATTGAGATTATTTCCAGGTCTTTTCAGTTACAATTAAAATTGTTATGAACCACTGTAGACAGGCTTTTGTGTGCACATAAGTTTTCATATCTCTAGGGAAAATGTATGGGAGTGCAATTATTGGGTAGTACGTCAATTTTTTTTTAAAACAGGGGCTCCCTGGTGGCGCAAGGGGTTAAGACACAACCTATGAAGCTATCCACAGCCACTGAAGCACAAGTTTGATCCCCGGCCAGGGAGCTACCCACATGGTGCAGCAGACCTCTCCTGACTCACCTGCTGCTCCACTCAGCTGTGTATTTCAGTCGATCTGCCTGTTCTGTTCCCCACTCTGTCTCTGGTGAATCCTCTCACCTCCCACACCTCTGGCCTATACCCCAGTTCTTGTAAGCATAAATAAATAAATCTTTTTAAAAAATCTTTTTAAAACAGTGTTTTGATGACCTTTTCTTCAAATATATATATCACATACTGGGGCCTCCCTGGTGGCACAAGGGGTTAAGATGCAGCACTATGGGGCCTCCCCTGGTGGCGCAGCGGTTGAGCACTGGGCTGCGAATCTGCCCGCAGCCTCTGCAGCACCAGTTCGATCCCCGGCCACCGGGCGAGGGTCCCACATGGCGCGCAGACCCTTCCTGCCACCCGCTGCTCCCCTCAGCAGTGTACTTCGTCAGTCTGCCTGCTCTGCTCTCCCCTCTGGCTCTGGTGAATTCCCTCACCCTCCCGCACTTCTTACTGTACCCAGTGCTTGTATAAATAAATAAATAAATCTTTAAATTAAAAAAAAAAAAGATGCAGCACTATGAAGCTATCCACAGTCACTGCAGCACGAGTTCAATCCCAGCCAGGGAGCTACCCACATGGTGCAGCAGACCTCTCCTGTCTTGCCCACTGTTTCCCTCAGCAGTGTATTTCAATCAATCCACCATTCTGTTTCCCACTCTGTCTCTGGTGAATCCTCTCACTCCCCACACACACACCTCTGGCCTGTACCCCAGCTCTTGTATGCGCAAATAAATAAATCTTTAAAAATATATGTTTCTTCCGGCCAGACCGAGCGGCTGCTGTGCGCACCTTGAAGGACACGGTCTGAAGGGTCCATTCCTGCTGCAAGGATTGAAATCATGGCAGGTGCAGAAAGCGATGCCCAATTCCAGTACACTGGCATTAAAAAATACTTCAACTCTAACACTCTCACAGGTAGAATGAACTGTGTGCTGGCCACATATGGAGGAATTGCTTTGCTGGTCTTCTACTTCAAGTTAAGGTCTAAAAAAACCCCAGCTGTGAAAGCAACATAAAGGGATTCTAAACGCATCCCATCTGCTCAGTTCCCATGCCTGGAGAAGCTAGTGTCAACTCATTATGTGATAATTTGTACAATAAATTATGAACCTGGAAAAATAAAAATAAAAATATATATATTTCACATACTACACTGCCCTCTTTACAGTATAATGCATATTATACTAAAGTATAATGTAGATGATTAAGTCTTACTTTTATTTATTTGTGGCCATTATTATGAGCTATTAAAATCTATAGAACTATTTATCTCTAAATTAAATGGCCCCAAGGTCTTGGAGGTTTTGATCTCAAAGTGCTCACATTCCTTTATTTTTTTCATTAATTGTCCTCAAAGTTAATGGTGTTCTGGTCCATATACGAGGTGATTGAGCACCTAAAATGAGGCAGGTCCAAACTGAGCTGCACTATAAACACACATGTAATTTTGAAGACTCAGTACAAAAAGAAGAATGAGAAATATCTCGATAATTTTCATATTGATTACACGTTAAAATGATATTTTGGGCATTCTGAGCTAAAAAAAATACAAATTTCATCTGTTTCTTTTAAATGTGGCTACTAGAAAATTCTTAATTACATATATGGCTTGCATTTAATTTTATTGAAAAGTACTGGTCCAGAGGGGTTTTGTCTATCTGTTTATTTGCTTGTACCTAGATTGCTGGAGGTGATTATGCTGCCATACATGCTATGTTACTATTACTAATATGTCCTATAATAGTAAGAAGATGTTGTAAGAAAGTGGCCATTCTTTGAAGAAAGTCAAAGCTCATCACTGTTTCAAAATAATAGCAAGAGGCAAGAGAGAAAAGTAGAGATCCGGTTTACAAATGCGAAAAATGTGAATTCTATTCCAACTTATCCTCAATGTAATTATTATTCGTGGTCACACAATTTAACTTCAATGGACCTCTATTATCTCACCTTTAAATTCCTGCATTGCCTTTTTCACGAGAGTGTTGTGAAAATTAAGAGGGACAATTTCTTTGACATTGCTATGATAACTGTAAAGAAACAATGCACATAACTAGAAATACAGAAGTTTTTAACCAAACCCCACACAACTGGCTCATTGAATGAGTCAATGCTCTCCTTCATTCCATAAAGTAACCCCACCTGCTGTCCAGGATGCTCCTGGACAAGCCATGCACATCTCTTCTCCAACCTCTCAAGTTTTTCCTAACAAGAATAATAGAGTCTAGTCCAAAGCTTGTTATACAGTGATTAATTTTTAACAAGAATGTGTAATTTAACAGTACAGAATGTAAGATGATAAAACAAGAGTATAAATTGTTATTGTTATAAAAAACTAAGTCAATTTCTTTGGAAAGGTGAAATAAAAATAACTGTCCCCCTCCCCTGAAAAAAAAATTGCCACTATATTAACCATAGGGTAAGGAGAAAACACTGGGAAAGGGGTAAATACCTCGAATAATTTTCCATCTGAATTGCTTTACACGTCTTTAAATTTCTAGTTCATGTTCGAGAAAGCCAAACTGGGTGTCACAGCAGGTGCACTATAAGTAAGGTGTGGGCATAAAGAAGACAAAGACCAGCAAGAACCAGGATAAAAGGAAAACCCTTGATCCTAAACCATCAGACTAAATGAATGGGCATTTAGGCATTTAGTGAGGCACTATTTCCTCATTCCCTGCTTTAACTGACCTTTAACTAGTGCTGAAGCAGGCGTCTGCTTAACCACTATCATCAGAATGAAGGGGACGAATATGCGAGTCAGTCATATTTTCAAAAAGATTTAATAGTCATAAATAGAGCCACGTAACACTAATGTGTGCTCACAGTAGAAAGTACAAAACCAGGTCAAAAAAAAGTTCCGAAGCTATTGAGTCTTTAAAGTCACCCATTAATTCATACAAGAGATGAATTCAATGTGAAACAGTGACACTGTGATAAATGATGGCACAAATTCTCCCATCAAAATCAATTGTTGAATCATCTGCACTAGGGCTCAGATAAAATAGTAACATATCAGCAATAAGCAATATTTATTACATTCCTATATGCTAACAGCATTAAATTATTTCATTTAATAAACATACAGCAAATCACACAAGGTATACATTGTAAAGACGAAAAAACTCTAAGATTAACAAGAGCCAAGTAAGCCCTCTAATGTGGTAGTTCTGGTATTCAAGGATCATGCTACATCCTAGAATCACAAACATCCTTTGGCAACTGACTGTGTACTCTCAAGAATGACAAAGTCCTTGAAAGACTTTTTATCATAGAAAAAGTGTTAATGTTAATGTGCATATGAATCACCTGGAAATCTTGGTAAAATGAATACTCTGATTCAGTAAGTCTGGAGGGCTGCTGAGAGTCTTTCTGCATTCTAATCAGCTCCCAGGTGATACTGCTGGTCCTCAGACCACACTTTGAGGTCTGAGGAGCAAGGTATTGTCCTGGAGCATGTCCTCTGATCCTCCTTCCCAGAGGGCTGATTTCTTCCAAGGGGCAGAGGTCACTCAGAACACCAATATCCTCTCTATCTCCCTAGCTGCTGTCCTGCCCAGATTCTTGTACCTGGGATAGGACTGATCCTGCTAATGCTGTGTGGGCAAGAGCTCTTGGCATCCCTTTACTAAGGGTTATGCACAGGAACACCAAGAAAAACAAAACAAAGACCACATTCCTTGGGCTTTTAACCTCAAATTCAGAACCACCTCGTGGAAATATACCATTATAATAAAGTCACAAACTGGGCCTCCCTGGTGGCGCAAGGGGTTGTGACACAACCTATGAAGCTATCTGCAGCCACTGCAGCATGAATTCGATCCCCTGCCAGGCAGCTACCCACATGGCACAGCAGACCTCTCCTGACTCACCCACTGCAGCTCTCAGCAGTGTATTTGAGTCAATCTGCCTGTTCTATTCCCCACTCTGTCTCTGGTGAATCCTCTTACCCCCCATACCTCTGACCTGTACCCCAGTTCTTGCATGCATAAATAAATAAATCTTTAAAAAAAAATAAGGTCACAAACAAGAGGTAATTTCATTAGGTAACAGAGCAAAACATCTTAAAGGAGTTGACAAGTGCTGTCAGAGTATCTCAAAGGAGTTAACACTTCCAATGCAGAGAAACACTGAGGCAAAGATGGACCCATGGTAACCCCTGGACCCAGCCCTCCTAACATCAAACCTTATCTGTCTGTACAGAATCCCTGTCTTTAAACCTGGCTGCCTGCCCATCTCCTAGGCTGAGGAAAGGAAAATATTCATGATCTTGCCTTCATTATAAGGGGAAATGTTAGCTTCTGCTTCTAATTAAGCATTTTATACAGATTTTTTTTTCTTTGACCATAAAAGATATCCAACTGCATATTTTCTAAATGATCCATACAGATCTAATAAACAATGTTTTTCCAGTAAAAAGGCAGCTCCCATTGACTCCTTTGTCTGCTATAACAATGTGCTTTCCAATATTCATTGATTTGACAAATAATTAATAAATGCCTCTCTTATTTTGTTAAGCCAATGAGCTGGGCACTAAAGGTAGGAAGAGGAATTAAACACCACTCCTACCCACCCAGAGCTCACAGTCCAGAAGGGGAGATAAATATGTAAACAAATCATCCCCATAGAGAGTGACAGTTTAAAAAAGGGGGGAGGGTGAGGGGAGAGGAAGAATGGTTTTATTCCTTTCCTCAATTCTAATCCCAAATCATAATTGATTTCCAGTTTGAATGAGCTAAGTGGTATAACAGATGGAAAACAAGCAAAGTAGCACTCTATTCCTGAAATACACAGTGATTAGCAATCAACAACCACACAGACCTGTACACCAGGCCCTCCCTTAGGCACTCAAGGGATGACAGGGAATTCAACCCACAAGGAGTTTCCAGTGCTCTTGGGAAACAAGATGTAGAAATGTTACAGGCAACCCCAATGTGAAATGGGTTGGTCTGACTATGGGTCCTCACCCACACACTTAAAGGGACTTAAAATGAGACTTAACTGCAGGCACACACAAAAAGGCTAATAAAGGGTTTATTTACCAAAATAAAGGGGAAATGAAGAGAGGAATAACCAGGAGAAAGAGAGAATGTGTCCTACCAGTTCCACTGAGCTAGCACACTGAAGGCTGGCAGGAAAACCCAAGAATCCCCAGGGCCCACATATCTGGTTATATACCAAGCCTAGCTGCTTAATTCCACCCTTAGTTCCCAGCAATCCTGCCTTCAGTGGTGATGACATTACAGGATTCGTAGTCCTTGGTGCCTTGGATCTCTTTGGTCTAGAGTGGGGGTGGAGTCCATAAAACCTGAGTTTGTGGAGTTCATTCAGGACATTCCCCTTCCCCCAACAAAAAGAGTGAAACAACCACCACAACTAGCATTCTAGAAGTTTTTATACACTAGTAGAAGTTCAGCAATGTAGACTATGACTAGATCTTAAAAAGTTTTGACCCTGCATGGCCATGGACAATAGGATGGCATTAAAGATTATTCTGAGAAGGGGTAATGACATGATGAAAGCTGTTTGTATATTTATGTATACACACACACACACATATATATCGAATATATCTAATTTATAATTTAGATATATATTACACATATATCTAATTTTATAATTTAATAAGAAGAAAAGCTATTTTTACTGACCCCCTAGTATATGCCTATCACTATTAGTCCCAAAGACTCATATATATTATCTCTAATTGTCCTAACTGTCCTTCAAGGTAAACATGATCATCCCCTTTCTAGAGATGAGGCAACTGAGACTCAGTAATATAAAGTAAATGTGTGGATGGTAAAATGGCTAATAAAATGTAGGTGGATCTAGGAAAATTAATCCAGGTCATTACATTAATAACAGGAAGAGACTATTAGCAGGGGAATTAATGCAAGGCTGCTTGGATAATCCAGGTAGGAGGTGTGGTGAAGACACTAAAAACAGAAAAATTTACAATGCAACTTACTCAAAGAACTTCATCTACCTTTTCAAAGTTATCTGCGATAGATCGCAATAAGGCAGCAATAAAGTAAATAAACACAATATGTTAAATACCTACTATGTGCTGGATACTATGTGCCATGGGGTTGAGGACGCAAAGACCTATAGAG